AGGGGAGCGGCCATGAGGGGAAGGGGGGGGGAGGGAAGCGTTAATCCCGTTTATTTTGTTTTTTTTCCTGAGTTTTAAATTCATGGATTTGGTTTGGATTGTTGGGATTGGGGGAGTTTAGAGAGGGGGGGAAATGGGGGATTGGGAAAAGGGGGGTCCAGAGTGGGAAAAGAGGAAAAATGGGGAGAAAATGGGATCCAGAGGGAGAAGAAAGGGGAGAAAATAGGAAAAGGGATCCAGAGTGGGAAAAATTTGGAATAACAGTGGGAAAAGGAGGGAAACGGTGAGAAAATGTGGGATAACAGTGGGAAAAGGGGATCCAGAGGGAGGAAAATAAGGAATAGGGGGAAAATGGGGGAAAGAGTGAGAAAATGGGGAATAACAGGAGGAAAATGGGATTCAGGGTGGGAAAAATAGGGAATAACCATGGAAAAAGGGAATTCAGGGTGGAAAAATTGGGAATAACTGCAGGAAAACGGGATCCAGAGTGGGAATAATAAGGAATAATCATGGGAAAAGGGGATTCAGGGTGGAAAAAATTGATCCAGAGTGGAAAAAATAGGGAATAAGTGTGGGAAAATGGGATTCAGGGTGGGAAAATGGGATCCAGAGAGTTAAAAAGGGATTCAGAGGGGGAAAAATAGGGAATAGCCATAGAAAAAGGGGATTTAGGGTGGAAAAATAGGGGAAAACTGCGGGAAAAGGGGATTCAGGGTGTGAAAAATGGGATTCAGAGTGGGAAAATGGGGAATAACAGCAGGAAAATGGGATTCAGGGTGGAAAAAAGGGATTCAGAGTGGGAAAAACAGGGAATAACTGTGGGAAAAGGAGATTCAGAGTGGAAAAATGGGATTCAGAGTGGGAAAAACAGGGAATAATTATGGGAAAATGGGATTCAGAGTGGGAAAAATGGGATCCAGAGAGGAAAAAAGGGATCCTGAGTGGGAAAAAGAGGGAATAACCATGGAAAAATGGGATTCAGAGTGGGAAAAATAGGGAATAACTGCGGGAAAATGGAATTCATGGTGGGAAAAATGGGAAATAACAGCAGGAAAATGCGATCCTGAGTGGAAAAAATAGGGAATAATCATGGGAAAAGGGGATTCAGGGCGGGAAAATGGGGAATAACTGCGGGAAAATGGGATCCAGAGTGGAAAAAATAGGGAATAACCACGGAAAAATGGGATTCAGGGTGGAGAAATGGGATCCAGAGGGGAAAAAATTTGGAATAACCACAGGAAAATGGGATCGAGGGTGGGAAAAACAGGGAATAACCGCGGGAAAACGGGATCCAGGGTGGGAAAAACAGGGAATAACCGCGGAAAAACGGGATTCAGGGTGGGAAAACGGGATCCAGGATGGGAAAAGGAGCAAAATGGGTGGAAAATCCGGGATCCAGAGGGAAAAAAATCCGGGATTCAAGCATTCCCTTTATCCCGTTTTTCCCCAGAATGACGGATTGGGAGACGGCTCCGGCCGTGACCGAGACTCCGGATATCAAACTTTTCGGGAAGTGGAGCACGGACGACGTCCAGATCAACGACATCTCCCTGCAGGTGAGAATTCCCAAAATTCCAGGGAATTCCCAACATTCCGGGGAATTGCCAACATTCCCTGGAGTTCTGGGCTTGGGAGGGAAGTTCTGTGCAGGGAAAATTTGGGATTTTGGGCCGGAATTTTGGGATTTTGGGCCGGAATTTTGGGATTTCCGTGGAATTTGGGCTGGAATTTTGGGATTTCCATGGAATTTGGGCTGGAATTTTGGGATTTTGATGGGGTTTGAGCCAGAATTTTGAGATTTTCATGGAATTTGAGCTGAAATTTGGGGATTTTGATGGAATTGGGACTGGAATTTCAGGATATTGCAGGGATTTGAGTCAGAATTTTGGGATTTCCTTGGAATTTGAACTGGAATTTTGGGATTTTATTGGGATTTGAGTCAGAATTTTGGGATTTTGAAGGAACTGGAGCCAGAATTTTGGGATTTCCATGGAATTTGGGCTGGAATTTTGGGGTTTTGCAGGAATTTGAGCCAGAATTTTGGGATTTTAATGGAATTCGGACTGGAATTTCAGGATTTTGATAGGATTTGATCTGGAATTTTTGGATTTCCATGGAATTTGGGCTGAAATTCTGGGACTTCTCTGGAATTTGGGCTGGAATTTTGGGGTTTTGATGGGATTTGAGCCAGAATTTTGGGATTTCCATGGAATTTGGCCAGAATTTGGGGATTTTGAAGGGATTTGAGCTGGAATTTCAGGATTTTGCAGGGATTTGAGTCAGAATTTGGGATTTTGATGGAATTGGAGCCAGAATTTGGGATTTTGATGGAATTGGAGCCAGAATTTTGGGATTTCCATGGAATTCGGAGTGGAACTTCGGGATTTCTGTGGAATTTGAGTCAGAATTTTGGGATTTTGATGGAATTTGAGCCGGAATTTTGGGGGTTTTGGGGCAAAACTTCGCATTTTGATGGGATTTGCGCCAGAACTTCGGGGTTTTTTGGGATCACAAATCCAAATCCAAGCCCGAAATTCCCGATTTTCCCAGGATTACATCGCGGTGAAGGAGAAATACGCCAAGTACCTGCCGCACTCGGCCGGGCGTTACGCGGCCAAGCGATTCCGCAAGGCTCAGTGCCCCATCGTGGAGCGCCTGACCAATTCCATGATGATGCACGGCCGCAATAACGGCAAGAAGCTGATGACGGTCAGGATCGTCAAGCACGCCTTCGAGATCATCCACCTGCTCACCGGGGAGGTGGGGAAACGGGAATTCTGGGGGGGAAATGGGAATTCTGGGGGGGAAATGGGAATTCTGGGGGGGAAATGGGAATTCTGGGGGGGAAATGGGAATTCTGGGGGGGAAATGGGAATTCTGGGGGGGAAATGGGAATTCTGGGGGGGAAATGGGAATTCTGGGGGGGAAATGGGAATTCTGGGGGGGAAATGGGAATTCTGGGGGGGAAATGGGAATTCTGGGGGGGAAATGGGAATTCTGGGGGGGAAATGGGAATTCTGGGGGGGAAATGGGAATTCTGGGGGGGAAATGGGAATTCTGGGGGGGAAATGGGAATTCTGGGGGGGAAATGGGAATTCTGGGGGGGAAATGGGAATTCTGGGGGGGAAATGGGAATTCTGGGGGGGAAATGGGAATTCTGGGGGGGAAATGGGAATTCTGGGGGGGAAATGGGAATTCTGGGGGGGAAATGGGAATTCTGGGGGGGAAATGGGAATTCTGGGGGGGAAATGGGAATTCTGGGGGGGAAATGGGAATTCTGGGGGGGAAATGGGAATTCTGGGGGGGAAATGGGAATTCTGGGGGGGAAATGGGAATTCTGGGGGGGAAATGGGAATTCTGGGGGGGAAATGGGAATTCTGGGGGGGAAATGGGAATTCTGGGGGGGAAATGGGAATTTTGGGGGAAAATGGGAGTTCTGGGGGGAAAATGGGAATTTTTTTGGGGAAAAGGGAATTTTGGGGGGGGAAATGGGGAAAAGGGTTTTTTTGGGAAAAAATTGGGTTTTTAGGAGGAAAAATGGGATTTTTAGGGGGAAGAATGGGAATTCCGGGGGGAAAATGGGAATTCTGGGGTGAAATGGGAATTTTTTTGGGGAAAAATGTGGAAAAAATGAGGTTTTGGGGGGGAAAATTGGTATTTTTAGTTGGAAAAATGGGATTTTTACAGGGAAAAATTGGATTTTTTTGAAGAAAAATGGTGTTTTTAGGGGAAAAATGGGATTTTTAGGGAAAAGGGCCTTTTATGGGGAAAAATAGGAATTCTGGGGGGAAAATGGGAATTCTGGGGCGAAAATGGGGAAAAAATGGGGTTTTTAGGGGGGAAAATGTGATTTTTACGGGGAGAAAATGGGAATTTTATGGGGAAAATGGGAATTCTGGGGCGAAAATGGGGAAAAAATGGGGTTTTTTAGGGGGGAAAATTTGATTTTTACAGGGAGAAAATGGGAATTTTATGGGGAAAATGGGAATTCTGGGGGGAAAAACGGGAATTCTGGGGGGAAAAAAATGGGAATTCTCTGGAATTCTGGGAATTCCATCCCATTTCCCTGTTTTCCAGAACCCCCTGCAGGTCCTGGTGAACGCCATCATCAACTCCGGCCCCCGCGAGGACTCGACTCGAATCGGCCGCGCCGGCACCGTCCGCAGACAAGCCGTCGACGTCTCCCCTCTCCGCAGGGTCAACCAGGTCCTTCCCCATCCCCAAATCCCCAAAATTCCCACATTCCCAAGGATTTTTCCATAGGTTTGGTTCATCCCGATTTTCTGGGAATTTTTCCCATTTTTTTCCCCATTTTTTTGCTTTTTTTTCCCGTTTTTTTCTCATTTTTTTTCCTTTTCTCCCTGATTTTTTTCCTCTTTGTAGGGTCAACCAGGTCCTTCCCCATCCCCAAATCCCCAAAATTCCCACATTCCCAAGGATTTTTCCATAGCTTTGGTTTATCCTGATTTTTTGGGAATTTTTCCCATTTTTTTCCCATTTTTTTGTTTTTTTTCCTGTTTTTTTCTCTTTTTTTTTGGTTTTTTTTTCTTCTCTGGGGGGTCAATCAGGTCCTTCCCCATCCCCAAATCCCCAAAATTCCCACATTCCCAAGGATTTTTCCATAGGTTTGGTTTATCCCGATTTTCTGGGAATTTTTCCCATTTTTTCCCCATATTTTGCTTTTTTTTCCTGTTTTTTTCTCTTTTTTTTTGGTTTTTTTTTCTTCTCTGGGGGGTCAATCAGGTCCTTCCCCATCCCCAAATCCCCAAAATTCCCACATTCCCAAGGATTTTTCCATAGCTTTGGTTTATCCCGATTTTTTGGGAATTTTCCTGGGTTTTTTTCCCATTTTTTTCCCCATTTTTCACCAAAATTCCCAATTTTCCCCCTAAAATCCCCAATTTCCCCCCCTAAACCCCCAAATTTCCCTCCAAAACCCCCCGAATCCCCCCCAAATCCTCCCAGAATTCCCGATTCCCTCCCAGAATTCCCAATTTTCCCCAAAAATTCCCAATTTCCCCCCCCAATTTCCCCCAAAATCCCCATTTCCCCTCAAGAAAATCCCAATTTTTTCCCCCAAATTTCCCCCAAAACCCCCGAATTTCCCCCAAACCCTCCCAGAATTCCCCATTCCCTGCCAGAATTCCCGATTTTTCCCAACATTCCCGGTTTTTTTCCCCCCAGGCCATCTGGCTGCTGTGCACGGGCGCTCGCGAAGCCGCTTTCCGCAACATCAAAACCATCGCCGAGTGCTTGGCCGACGAGCTCATCAACGCCGCCAAGGTCAGCAGAATTCCCAAAATTCCAGCCCCAAATTCCCAAAAATCCCATCCCTTCCTTTATTCCCATCTTTTTTCCCAATTTTTCCTATTTTTTCCCATTTTTCCACATTTTTTTCTGATTTTTTTCTGGTTTTTTCTTATTTTTTTCTTATTTTTTCTTATTTTTTCTGATTTTTTCCTGATTTTTTTCTGATTTTTT